CCGCTGCCACCCCCCTAATACTCTGGGGCCCGGATTACCCGCTGTGCTGTGTGCTGGAACTGCTTTGCTGTGGGCCCCACGATACTCTGCCTAATACTCTGGGGCCTGGGTTATCTGCTCTGCTGTGTGCTGAGGAAGTTCACCCCCCCCCTTTTTCTGTCGCCTGCTGTGAGCCAGGACATACCTGTCAGAGCCGTAAGTGTCCGCAAGCTGCCTACCTCCCTGGAAGCCGCCTGCTGCTGAGCGTCCACAAGCCGCCTGCTGCTGAGCGCCTCCGTAAGCCGCCTACCTCCCCGGAAGCCGCCTGCTGCTGAGCATCTGCAAGCTGCCTATCGTGAGTGTCGCTAGAAGCCATGAACTGCCCCTATTGTGTGCTCAGACTACCCTTGCCATGAACTACCCCTATTGCATGCTCAGACTACCCTTGCCATGAACTGCCCCTATTGTGTGCTCAGACTACCCTTGTCTGCACTGCCCCATGGCGTGCCCGGAGTATAGCTACCTGGACTGACCCCTGAGGGCTTGAGCCATCGCTACCCGAACTAGACCCCATAGTCAAGGTCCCTTTGAGTCCCCGTGAGCCTGATGTTGTCGCTAGAAAGCTGTGTGGGAGCTGTGTTGCGGTCAGACCCCATAGCCAAGGTCCCGCTGAGCCCCGTGAGCCTGATGTCCCTAGAAAGCTGTGTGGGAGCTGTGCTGAAGTCAGACCCCATAGCCAAGGTCCCGCTGAGTCCCCGTGAGCCTGATGTTGTCCCTAGAAAGCTGTGTGGGAGATGTGCTGAGGTCAGACCACATAGCCAAGATCCCGCTGAGTCCCCGTGTGCCTGATGTTGTCCATAGAAAGCTGTGTGGGAGCTGTGCTGAGGTCAGACCACATAGCCAAGGTCACGCTGAGCCCCGTGAGCCTGATGTTTTCCCTAGAGAGCTGTGTGGGGGTTGTGCTGAGGTCAGACCCCATAGCCAAGGTCCCGTTGAATCCCCGTGAGCCTGATGTTGTCCCTAGAAAGCTGTGTGGGAGCTGTGCTGAGGTCAGACCACATAGCCAAGGTCCCGTTGAATCCCTGTGAGCCCGCTTACCATGAGTGTCCCTACAAGCCGCATGTTGCGGAGTGCCAAGAGCTGCCCCGATTGAGTGCCTTCCATAGTTCAATAAAGCTTTGTGTGTTTACCATCTTTGTATGTTCTGTCCTGCCTACGCTTCCGTCACAGTAATATTCAAAGCAAACCCTGTCCATCTATCTATGTCTGCATGCTTTATTTTGCTGAAAACTAATTTAGAAAAACACCCTCTAGCATTTCTGGCTGTGGACATCTTGAATAAGGGCAGATGATTCATGTAACATTTCCTTCCTGGAATCCATCTACCCTTAGCTCAGGCACACAGGAAGGAGAGTGCGCCTGAGAAAACCCCTCCTCCCCTCCTGAAGACTCCTGGGATGTATGACATCATTTGCCTATGTGAGAAACCAGGAAGCAAGTGAAGAAATTAAAAAACAGTTTAAAACAATATAATATACTTTCCTATCTATTAACTAACGCTAGCAACACAAGGATTAAAAATAGTCAATGTTGACAGAGTGAAGTTCCACTTTAAGGGGGAGCAGTTGAAGAGTTAAAGTAGGGTAGCCAAGCAGAGACGTTATCCAGAAAGCACAAAACCGGTCCAGGAAGCCAGTAGATCACTGCAATCCTCAGAGAAATGGGGGGAAAACAGCAAGTCTCAAAAGAAGAGGATAGAGAGGGAGGGTTAAGGAGGACATGAAAGGTGCTCAGTTGGGATAGAAGCAAACCAACTCCACCACCTTTCCGACCACTGGGTCTGGGTGAGTGAGTCCAGAGAAGGCTTCCATAGGAAAGTGCTGTGGGAAAAGAAGAATCTGCTGCTTGAAGCCAGGTTTCTGTAATTGCTAGTAGGTTAAGGGAGCGGGAGACAAAAAGGTCATGGACAGAGGTGAGTTTATTACAGACAGAGCGGGCATTCCAGAGCGCACATGAAAAAGGGAGGGTGGTTTTTAGGAGCATGGGGACTGATGTTAAATTGAGGGGATTGCGGCTATTCCCGGAGGAAGGAGGGTGCCTAGTGTGGGGGTGAAATAGTGGAGGACCAGGGTTTGGGGAGATATCCCCAGACGTTAGAAGAATATGGAGGGTGAGGAAAGTAAGATGGGAGCGGGATGTACACGAGTGTACATGCCTTCCAGGCCTGGTATTTGGGTCAGCAGGAGAGTAAAGTATTAGCAGGAGGTGATGACAGCAGTAGTAGGGAGATGTAGATGTGAGGGTGAGATGTGTAATCTTTGGGGTGGAGCAGAGGGGTAAAGAAAGGAGATTGTGAGAACAGAGGATAGTAATATGAAAAGGAGGAGTAGGTGGGGCATTTTAAAAGGTAGATGGAGTGGGAATCAAACTTGTAGATGTTTCCCAGGGTGTTTGCCTGCAGTAGAGTTCTTTGTTGAATCCTCCTGCTGCTTGATTTATCCTGCTTTAGTTAAACTGCTGTGTTCAACCTAAGTTTGCAGAAGTGCATAGCAGGGAGACAGTTTACGGTGGAGATCACATAACAGCATTTACCCTAAGTTTGCAGAAAGTCAGTGCATAGCTCTGTCATAGCATAGCATACTTATAGCTCTATCCCTTGGTCCAACCTTCCAGTACCACCCCTTTTGGAGAACACAGAACTAAGTATCATTTTCTGGTGCTAAATAATTTATATGGAATATGCAATACTTCCCCAAGATAAACAATAGATCCCCTAGCCACACTAGGCTTCCCCCAGAGCAACAATAGAGCCCCTACCCACAGCAACACTAGATGTCCCCCCCGAGCAACAACACATCCCCCACCCACCGCAGCACTAGATGTCCCCCAGAGCAACAATAAATCCACCACCCACAGCAACACTAGACACTCCCCAGAGCAACTCTAGACGTCCCCCGAAGCAACAATAGATCCCGCCACCCACAGCAACAATAGGCGTCTCCCAGAGCAACAAAACATCCCCCACACCAGCAACACTAGACATTCCCCAGAGCAACAATAGATACCCACACCCCCAGCAACACTAGACGTTCCCCAGAGCAACAATAGATCCCACACCCCCAGCAACACTAAACGTTCCCCAGAGCAACAATAGATCCCCACACCCCCAGCAACACTAGACATTCCCCAGAGCAACAATAGATTCCCACGCCCACAGCAACACTAGTTGTTCACCAGAGCAACAATAGATCCCCACACCCACAGCAACACTAGTTGTTCCCCAGAGCAACAATAGATCCCCACACCCACAGCAACACTAGACGTTCTCAGAGCACACATAGATCCCCACACCCACAGCAACACTAGACTTCCCCCAGGGTGACAATAGATCCCCCTCCCCAGCATGAACAAAACCTTCAGCAGTCAGCAATAGTAGCCCCCTCTGTTAACAATACATCCATTTGGGTAAAAACTGACCCCCCCCCCCAGCAGCAATAGATCCTCCAGCACACCTTGCCCTTACATACATTGAGTGCTGGAGGTGCATTTCCACTGAACAAAAGGCCTGAATTAGCCATTAGCCCCCTCCAGTCCGGTGATTGGCTCTTCTGTGTCATCCAGCGGCGGATGCAGGGAACAGGAGGGAGCGCTGACAATGGTTGGAGTATGGGAGCCTATGGGTACCATCACAAGTCCAGGCATTAGCAACCGTTCCTGAGCGCTCTCTCCTCTCCCCTGCAGCCACCACTGGCTGACATAGGGGAGATCACGTGACTGCTGTGATTGGTACTCATAGTGATCACATGATTGGAGACCTGTCCTGCTGGCTCCTGTTCAGAAGTCTGGGATCATGCAGAGGACAACCTCCATAGACACATAGATGGGGCGGCTGGGCAGTAAAGGCCACTTTTCACTATGCACTTATTAGGAGGGGAACTCTGCCTGGAGCCCCAATCCCCTCTTGACCTTCATGTGCCCCCCTGTACTGGGGCCCTTTAATAAACTGACCATAACACAGTGCTGCCATCAATAGGTAAGCTGCAGAATGACATGTCCGTGTACGGTCACTAAGCTGGGACCTGTAGTTCTCCAGCAGCCCGCATTATCCCTGCTGGGATGTGTCAGAGTGACCCAAAGTTGGGGGTTAGCACCAGTCACATGTCCAGCACGGAGCTGACAGGCCGTCCAGCAGGAGGTGACACTGGATAACAAACGGAACTCCATCCCACGTGTACACCAAGCCCTTCCCATACCGGTCACCGCCGGGATCCGGCACCTAGACAGCAACACACGCCGGTACACTACGGAGGCCGCCATCTTGCACAAGGGCACGCCTCCCGTCTATGGGAAGTGACAAGAGAGGGGCGGATCTGCAAAGTAGCCAATGGTGTGCTGAGCTAGGGATTGTTTTGGTCTATCAGAGGACACGATGGCGGCACTGATATTCAGAACGTTTAGCCGGAGCCTGCTATCTTACCCAACAACAGGGACACCGCCTTATCGGTGAGCGGGTACCTGTGTGCGAAACCTCCGATAGAAGGCAGACGTGTGTGTTCCATGTGAGAGCTTTGTAGGACATTGAGAAGGCCTGCTGGAGGGGGACACTGACCACGTGACAGATACACACCGATCACTCAGAACATTATTACCAATGAATGGTTAACCGGTTCGGCTCCAGAGCAATGTTTCCATTTTTTGCATTTGTAAAATTATACATTTTTGGCAATAAAATTACCTAAACCCCCAGAACTTTATCCCCTTGCCCTCCAGAGGTTTGACCTCCCTTCTTGACCATGCCATTTTGTGCCATATGGTGCTGCGTTCCACCAAAAAGGGGAAGTTCTGCTTTAAAGATTGCTCCCCATTAAGGATTGACACCTTTGGGGAGCGGGGGAGTGAAACGGGTACCCGAATTTGACAGGTACCCACTCCCACTCTGCTGCAATCGGAAACAGAAGTTGTCTTCCTAACCCCCCTCCCCCGAAGTCTTGTGGGACACGAAGCGCAGTGCTACTTGCACATGCACAGTGGGAACCCGGCTGGCAAGCTGGTACAGCCAGGTGCCCACACCTGGAATACAGGATGGCTGGCGAAATGGGCTGCAGCAGGGGCAACGTGGGATCGTGGGACAGGTGAGTGGCTGTTTTTTTTAAAAGTCAGCAGCTACTCTGACTTTTATTTTTTTTTACAGAGTGAGTGGAACTCCGCTTTAACTGACAAATTGCACGGTCATGCAATGCTGCACCCAAATTAAATTTGTCTTTTTTTCCCCCCACAAATGAAGCTTACTTTCGGTGGCATTTGATCACCTCTGCATCTTTTATTTTTTGCATTATAATCAAAAAAATACCGACAATCTTGAAACATTTTTTTTTAATATTTTTGCTATAAAACATATCCAGTAAAATTTAAAAAAATCAAATGTCTTAATAAATTTAGGCCATGTATTCTGCTACGTGTCTTTGCTAAAAAAAAAAATTCCAATACATGCAAATTAATTGGTTTACGTGAATGTTATAGCGTCTAAAAAAGGTGTATATATACACTGGAATTTAATTTTTTTTTTTCTTTAAATACTAGTAATGGCGGCGATCAGCATCTTACAGCAGGACTGCAGTGGGCATTCTGACACTGGGGGAACTAACTGCCACTGACATCCCAATGACAATAATACAGTGATCAGTGCTAATAAAAAGCACTGACGCTGTACTAATGGCACTGGGCAGGAAGGGGTTAACATATGGGACAATCAAAGGGTTAACTGTGCTGTTTTACTATGTGTGCTGTGTGTGTTTACTAGGGAAACATGATGCTTTGTATTCTGAGCAATAAAAAGCTACATGGCAGTGCTGACGGGGGAGTGATCTGTGTTGTTTACATACAGACCTCTCCCCTGTCACTGTTCCTCAGTGATCGCCAAGTGACAATAGGAATTTCCTGGCGAGACCCAGTGATCAACAGCTGTAGCTGCCAATGGCGGCACAGGTAGAGCGACGCGTGCCCCCCTACCTGGAAATGCAAAATCACATACGTGATTTTGCGCAGCCCTGTAGCAGTAGCTCTTCTATAGGGCAGAGGGGAACCGGTTAAATATTTTCTGAAAACAGGCCCTGTACAATATAAAGGGGATAGCTGCAAATTTGTGTCACGCGATATTTGCGCACCCGCAGTACTTTTACTTTAGATGGGTGGCAGCTACAGGAAAAGAAACATACCAGTACATCGCTCTGCCTATTCTAACACAGGTTGGGAGGGGGCAGTGCTGGATACAGCGGAATGCGGATCCTGGTGGTCATGTGATTGCTATGGCGATTCCACCAGCGGACCATAGAGCTGATCAGAGAGTGGAATTTCTCCAATCATCTCTGTGGTCTAAGCTACAAGCATTTCATCATTTCTGTTTCATTGGATGTAAACAGCGTTGTTTTATAATTGGGAAAGCACTTGATCACACTGACATTGGTGTGATCAGATGCTTTAAGGGCAGATGAGATATCTAGAGTCTAATAGACCTTAGAATTTTCAGAAAAGAGTACCTTTCACTTCATATTGCTATAACAAGATATTTACATCCCCTGTGATAACAATAAAAGTAATTTTTTTAAATAAATTAGAGGAACAGTGTAAAAAAAAAAAAAGCTAAAGTAGTCCAGCAGACTTCTGGGACCTGTGAAGTGTCCCAGAAGACTGCGAGGGGAAGGAGGGGGTCTGAACGTCCGGTTCAGTTTGCTGTGGCAAATGTGAGTGGGTACCTGTCAAAACCAAAAATCAAAGTGCAGCGCTAAAATGATCATAAAAGTGTCTGTTAAAATGACCCAGTAATATGAAAAAATGAATGAGATAAAAAATAAAAGTTCATAAGGTGACAATATGTGCTTTAAAGTGCCAACTCCAACGATACTTCAGTGCTTGTGTTTGTAGGTGTAGTAAAATTCCGCATATAACTATATAACCAGAGGTCCTCTTAAGGAAAACAAGGTAAGCCGGGTATTGGATTATCCTTCCTCTAAGTGGCGGGCAGCACAGCAAATACTCCTGGACAATACGAAAATCCAAACAGCCAGAGGCCCCCTTTAAGGGATGGATGGGTGTTACAGCCTGAATTTACAGGGACTCCCCTCTCTCGATACTGGGATGGATCATCAACTTTGATGGGCTCTGAAAATCAATCGCTCCACCGGGGAGCCAAACAAAAAGTGCCCATAGTGTAGTAAGGTTTAAAAGATATTTATTCCAAGATATACATTCCAAAAGAATGGGTTAAAAACGATACTTCGGTGATAAAACAAACAGGACTAACCGTCCAAGAATTAAGATGGCCACCGGACCTTCAGGAGGCTTCAGCGGCGTGACTTCACTGCGTAATTAGCTCCTCCATGCGTATTTCGTGCCACGCACGTCTTCAGAGGTGATGCCAATGTCACCATGACGTGCTCCGTCTATATTTATTTGGAAGATTGCGCATTATACTGGCGCCATCTTGGTGAAGGGCAAAATGTGCGCACGTGCATGTGCGGGTGCCATTTTGCCATGGATATTTTGGGACTAGGAGCTTAGTAAACAGAAGAGGCAAAAATCAATTAGGTCAGCCAAATTACAGGGGAAACGTCAGGGTAATAATCAAAAAAGGCTTTGCGACATGGAAAATAAGTATATAAAAAACACATGCAAACCCCGCAAGTTCATATTAAAATAGTGTGACCCGGGGGCTCAAACTCATATTAGATATATCCAGTATATATCTAACCGGTGATAAAGATCAAAACCATCTTACTATAACCCGAATGTAGCCTATAAAGTCAATTTAGGCAACAAAAACCCCAAATGGATATATAAAAAATAATTATATTAAGAGTAAAAATTGAAGTATGTGTTTATATAAAAAATGTCATAAATAAATCATTGGCAAAATAATTCAATAATACAGCAATATAAATTCAACAATATAATCCCCAAAATTAATAAAAAGGGGAAAATTACAGAGTAAAAACGGTAAATTAAAAGCCATTAGAAAACCAGAAAGAAATTAATAATTATAAACAAAGAAAAGACCGGATCTGGTTATGTGACAGATAAATATAGAATCGAATAGGGCTGAAAACCATATAAAAGAAGATAAAACTAAATATATGCCCACTAAAGAATAAAAATAAAATAAGGATGATGCATACCACGATAGTGGGGTTAATTATATATAAACATAATATAAATAAATATATAAACATAATAAAAATTAAAATAAATGTTATAAAAATCATAAAGTCTAACTGTTATTATTATTATACAGTATTTATAAAGCGCCAACAGTTCGCTCAGCGCTGTACATTACAAAGGGAGACAGAACATGCGACAGTACGAAAATAATACAATGTGATACACAAGGGGTTCGAGGGCCCTCCTCTTTCAAGCTTACAATCTACGAGGGAGGGGATAGTGATACAGGAAGAGATAACTGTGGGGAATGGAGTGGTAGGAAGAGTGGAGGAGGTCGGAAATTAGCAGGGGGTGGGGGGAGGGGCTGTTATCAATAAAACAACATCAACCTCTACGTTATGCCCATTGGGGTATAAAGTACCTAATTCGAAAATCCACTTAGTCTCGAGCTGTGAAACAGCCCTTCTTTTATGTGTGCCCCTCCAATGCGGTGTCACAATGTCAATACCTACAAATTTAAGTGTGGAGGGGTCTTTATTGTGGAAATGCTTGTAATGTTTTGATAATGAATGTCCTTTAAAACTCCTTTTGATGTTATATACGTGTTCGCAAAGTCTTCCCCCTGAGGAAGCCATGTGTCCCTGTGGCGTAACGCGTAGGGGGAGGGGCTCACGACGCCATAATACACAGCAAAACGGCGAGTACTGTTAGTGTGCAGAGGCACACACTGATACAAACCACGCTATCACATTATTTACTCCATGTGAGTGAGTATTTGTTGGCTTGGCAATAAACCTGTAATACCAAAGAATAAGGCACTATGTGTACATTTATGTTTTTCATCTATTAACTGGAGGAATAAAAGGGAGAGTAGGAAATAGGAGAGAGATCCCTGCAGGATAGGGGAAGAAATCCTCAACCATCCATCCTTCACTCTAAGCCGAGAAGGAAGATCAAGAGACTCCAAGTGGAAGGAGATTGTTATTACAAGTGCACTGAAATAGTTATATATATATATATGTGTGTGTGTGTGTGTTTTTAAAACGGACATCACAGTATAGGATTTTTTCACACTTTACACAGTCACTATTTATGGTTGAGCTATAGTGTGAGGATAGCTCAATTATACTATAGAAGTTTTCTTATGGTTTTCACATTATTTGATGTCATATTTGATTGGTTCATCTTACTTGCACTATACGCATTGGAAAAATAGCATTAATTGGATAATTCGATTTATATCATTAATTTACACGTTGTGTGAGAGTACTATAAGGTACACATGGATTAACTTTTTTTTTTGGTGGAGCGCGACACAATAATTTTGTTAATTTTTTGACTCTGTTTTCTACTGTTATTGCACTGACAGATGACACACTTGTTACATGGATAATAACCTTTTAAATTAGAAAATAGAGAAATATTTTCAGGTGGATTAACCACATTGGGCGCTATTTGGTTTCCAAGAGCAGTTGCCTTCCGGAATATGATTTCTGGTTTATCTGGTAAGATTTGGGATAATATTGGGTCTGTTTTAAGGATCCCCCAGTTTTTGTTAATAATCTTACTGATAGCCCTATATTGTGTTGAAAAAGTGGCAATATGCAGATTTGTCCATGTCTTTCATTATCCCTAACCATGTAGCTCCTATTCATATCTGCCACCACAGATTCAATGTGGTGTTCAAGGTATTTTCGTTATAACCTTTTTCCAGAAATCTATGCTTGAGGATCAGGGCTTGTGAGTGATAAGTACCTAAATCAGTGCAATTTCTCCTGATCCTCATAAACTGTCCTTTAGGGATATTAGCCCAGCCACTGTTTTAAAAACATGCGTTTTTGTAAACAGGTAGGGGGCGCTTGCAAGGCGCGCCACCGCCCTACCTGTCCCGACGATCACTGCCGCGGATGTCAGTCGCCGGGTTACAGCCGGTCGTTACCGGCTATGTCCCGGCGATCGGCGGCAATCGCTGACAGAG